TCTGCCCTGTGTGACCTTCTGCTTTATAAACCGGAGAGAAATATGTACTGCCTTTACAGAGAGTACCACCCCAGGGCTGCCGTTCTGTCCCTCGTCATTCCATTCCTTGTCTTTGACCTTCTTTTCAGTCTCCTAGGTCTTATGTTTGTCACTTTATAGGAAACTAGAGCCCACTTCAAATAGATTCTGGAGAAGTCCAGGGAAAAAGAAGACAAATACTTATGCAGATGATCCAGCCATCCCACTTCCTGGTGCAGATCTGAAAGATCTGAAAGAATTGAAAGTAGGATCTTTTTTTTTTTTTTTGACAGGCAGAGTGGACAGTGAGAGAGAGACAGAGAAAGGTCTTCCTTTGCCCTTGGTTCACCCTCCAGTGGATGCCGCCACTGGCGCACTGCGGCCAGCACACCGCGCTGATCCGATGGCAGGAGCCAGGTGCTTCTCCTGGTCTCCCATGGGGTGCAGGGCCCAAGCTCTTGGGCCATCCTCCACTGCACTCCCGGGCCACAGCAGATAGCTGGCCTGGAAGAGGGGCAACCAGGACAGAATCCGGCGCCCCAACCGGGACTAGAACCCGGTGTGCCGGCACCGCAAGGTGGAGGATTAGCCTAGTGAGCCACGGCGCCGGCCGAAAGTAGGATCTTGACGAGAGATTTGCATACCCATACTCATAACGATATTACTCCCAATACCGAAGGGTTAGACACAATCTAAGGTTCTACTGACAGACGAATGCATAAACAAAATGTGGTATACACATAAATGGAATATTATTCAGCCTTCAAAAGGAAGGAGATTCTGACACATACAACAACATGGATGAACCTCAAGGACTGAACTAAACCAGTCATATAAAAGGACAAATGCTGTATGATTTCATGTACACAAGATATATAGATTATTCGGATCCCTAGAGACAGAAAGTTGAATGATGTTTGCCAGGAGTTAGGGGAGAGAAAATGGGGGTGTTGTCCAACAGGTACAAAGTTTCCGTTTCGCAAGATAAATGAGTTCTAGAGAGGTTTTGCACAACAATGTGAACAGAAGCATAGTTAGAACTACTGAATTTTATACTTAAAAATAGTTAAGGGGAGGGCATTGTGGCACATTGTGTTAAGCCACTGCTGCTGAGAAGCCCACATCGCATATCAGAGTGCTTGGGATCAAGTGTCACTTCCACTGATGTACTTGAGAGGCCACAGTACTTGAGTCCCTGCCACCTGCATGGGAGACATAGATGGAGTTCCTAGCTTTGGACTGACTATTGTGGGTGTTTGGGGAATGAATCAGCAGATGGAAGATCTTTCTCTCTCTCTCTTTCTCTCACCCTTTGCTTTTTCTGTCTCTGTTTCATTCTGCCTTTTAAATAAATAAAAATTAGTAAATAAATATAAAAATTGATGACTGTAAATTTTATGTTGTTTACTTTTTCCATAATTAAAAACATATAGTTTAGCAGTAGAAGATCTGGAAGGGCTGGTTCATCTAGAGAAGGCTTGTGGATAGTAGCAAGAAATGACAAGCAAGAACCAAAAAGTGGAGGAGGAGATGAATGGGAGCTTTGGTTTTAATTGTCTCAGTACACAGAGAATAGGAGAGAAAGCCCAAGGTGGGATGTCTAATAGGTGCCTCTCTGCTTAATCTGGAATCTCACACACTAAATCATTGCCATCCCCACTAAGGGATTGCACGGAAAACTGCTAACCTCAAATCTTTGTGTTGAATGCAAGGACAGAAATGTCTCCTAAGAATTCATCCCACAGGATAACCTCCGTGGAGGTTTGCATCCTTCATTCACATGAATGGTCCAAATGAAGAATTTCAAATGGTACTAGAGTGGTTGTGCCTTCTAGTGCCTAAAAAGGAAAGAAAAATAAATTTTAACTAGAATAACATAACTTGATATAGCTTTCAAATAATTCACATAAATAAAAACCCAAGAAAAATGCAGTTAAGTGAGAAATTATGCAGTATACAAGAGAACATGCCACTATGGGCAAAAGTCAACAGACAGCAGAAAGAGACTTTCATTGAACTTAGAAATTGTAATTATAAGATTTGAAAAATGAATTCAGTATATTTAATGTACAGAAGGAAATAAAGAAGGGGTTGAGACTATAAGTAGCAAAAACCCATATGACTGTATACACACACATGTACAGATATATACACATACACATACATGCATACCCATAAATACATATACATGTACAAACAAATCAAAGATAAATAATAGTCATTAAAGATCACATAAATTAAAAATTGCCTGACACTATCAAGTTGGTGAGAATGTGGAGTGGAAAGACATTTGTTAAGTTATTGGTGGGAATATAAACTGACAGAACCACTTTAGAAAATAATTTTGATATTATTTGGTAACTGAACATTTCCATACCCAGCAACTCCATTATTTATAAATATGTGTGTTTCCTGGGAAAGTCAAATAGCTTGTTTTCTAGTAAAGTTGAACATTTTATATTTCTAGCAGTTCCATTCCCAGGTGCATATTCTAAAGAAGTTCTTATGCATTTGGCTAGGAGACCTGTCCAAGAATGTTCATAGGTGCCAAAATTTGAAAAAAGGAACTCTTAAATGTACAACAATAAAATAGATAAGTAGACTATAGCATATCCATATAATGGAATACTGCACAGCTATGGAAATCTAGGTTACAGTAATAAAACACAACCTGATCAATTTAAGGAACATACTGTCAAGTGGGAAAAAGTAGTAAGAAAGTTGCAAAAGATACACAAACTATAATTTCACAGCTATAAAGTAAAAGCCATAAAACAGGAATCTAGAGATTTTGGATATAAAAATAGTAAAATAAGAAAAGACAGGGAATGTTAATTCCAAAATATCAGGAAGGGGGAAAGCAAGGGGATGGGACTGGGGAGTTGACATCAGTGAACTTCAGTGCTAATGATGACTTAGTTTTTCTTATTCTGGGTGATACCCATATATTCATTTACTTTTGTTGTACCTTATACACATTTTTAACATATGTATTTGCTTTTATTTAATAATTAAACTATTTTAAAGTATGGTCCCTAGTGTTAATAAGTATACACAATGCACTCTAAGCACTTCAGAGTCTTTGGGCCTTTCACTGATTTAGTGCTCTGTGAACACTGAGTGCATGACACAGCAAGAAAATGCTGAAGTGCACTTTATAGATGGTATTTAAGAGCACAGGCGTCAAATCATGTAATTTTTGGAAGGTAGCTATATCAGAATGAATATTTAATACATCCAGTTTAAAGAAAGTAATTGTTAATTTTCTGGGAAACTTAGCAGTATGGAACATTTTATTCCTCACTGATAATATACATGAAGTAAATATTAATTGATTTTTAATTGCAAATATAGTCCCTTGGCATAGTAACAGTTTGTTTAACCAATCACACTTTAAATTGGGGTATTAGCTGTCAGAACAGGTAAATTTTGATTTTCCTCCTTTCAAGTCTTTCCTCCTTCCTGCTTTTTGTGCTCTTCCTTGGGCAAATTTCTTTGGCCTCACTTCATCAAGATCCGTGTCCCCATTGCTTCTCCAGAGTTGAGCCTGCGCCTTCTTTAGTGTGTGTATATCCTTGTCTTGATGTAATCAGCATCTGATTTTTGTGTCTGTACTATCTTCTGTATTCTCTCTCTCTTTTTTTTTAAAAAGAATTATTTTATTTATTTGAAAGACAGAGGTAGAGCCAGAGAGAAAGAGGTCTTCCATTCTGCTGGTTTACTCCCCAAATGACCACAATGACCAGAGCTGAGCTGATCCGAAGCCAGGAGCCAGGAGATTCTTCCAGGTCTCCCATGCAGGTGCAGGGGCCCAAAGATGTGGGCCATCTTCTACTGCTTTCCCAGGCTATAGCAGAAAGCTGGACTGGAAGAGGAGCAGCTGGGACTGGATCCAGCGCCCATATGGGATGCCAGCACTGCAGGCTGGGGCTTTAACCCACCACACCACAGCGCCGACCCCACTTCTGTATTATTTTATTTTATTTTTTGACAGATAGAGTTAGATAGTGAGAGAGAGAGAGAGACAGAGAGAAAGGTCTTCCTTCCATTGGTTCACTCCCCAAATGGCCGCTAAGGCCAGCGCTATGCTGATCTGAAGCCAGGAGCCAGGTGCTTCTTCCTGGTCTCCCACATGGGTGCAGGCACCCAAGCACTGGGGCCATCCTCCATTGCCTTCTCAGGCCACAGCAGAGAGCCGGACTGGAAGAGGAGCAGTGGGACTAGAATCCGGTGCCCATATGGGACGCCGGCACCGCAGGTGGAGGATTAGCCAAGTGAGCCACTGCGCTGTCCCCACCACTTCTGTATTCTTTAGTACATTCCTGTTTCTAGCCTCATGCCGGCTCCTAAGTGTCCCACCTTAATTATTTCCTAGATCAATGAAGATTACTTTTTTTTTTTCACAATTGAATTCATTTGCACTGGAATTGGATTAGAGCTAATTATGGATAAATTTGAGGTTAAAACTTCTAAAATCTGGATCTGAGTCTTTCTGTGTTTCAGTTGTATTGATTTAGTTTTTGAACCCAAATATTTCATTTTTCTTAAAGCATGATTCACCAGTGATCTAGGTATTGTCAATGGACATTCTTTTTCTGTTAGTAAAATTTGAATATTTTTCATTACATTATATTAAGTGACACATTTCTCAAAAATTAAGCCATTTGAGATGCTTTGTTGAGTTTTGTTGAACTCTTTCATAGGAATGACATTCATGGCAGTGTCTTAACCTTAATGAAGAGCAGTATTTAGATATGATGAGTAGCATAATTAATGGTACATTATAATGGAATTGGACAGTGTTGCTGTGCACAGCCCTTATAGTTGGTTACTATACTATTCCTAAGTATCCATTAAATGAGTGTTTACATTTCAGAATTTGAACATTTGCTTTTTCGTATTCTTAAATTATGATGTGTGTTTGTGACAGTGGCATGCCAATATGAAGCTCTTTATTTCTTGTTTCTTTCGGTATCTAAAAGCATGTGAGTCAGGATCTGGAAGACTCATCATGTTCTTCAACACAAGGAAAATTTAACCGAGAGCAGTTTTACAAATTTATCATTTTCCCTGGCAAGTGGATTAAAGTCTGGTATGATCGACTCACCTTGTTGGCGTTACTTGATCGGTAAGCAACTGAGCATGCAAAGGTATAGTGAAGAAGATACAATGGGGACATGACAGTGCACACGTTTGAAAGAAAACTGCTCTTGTTAGGGTCCTGGGACATTTCCCAGGTATATACCTCTTTTGTTGTGAACCCAAAGTTGAAACAGTAAGATTGTGACAAAAAATTGTAATTTCACAGCTACTGATGGGAGAGGTAAGGATTGGGTAACATGGTTTGAATTTAAGGTTAACCATGGGGGCAGTATTACCCTTCGCCATTCACATTTATCCTCATTTTGGTACGAAAGTCTGTGGTTCTATCTGTAGCACAGGCTTGGCTTGACTGGGTGTGGGCCTGGGGACAGGAGGGATGATAAAAGTGGGTGATTTCTAGCTCTTTTCTGAACAACTTGAATTCTAATTTTTCACTCTGATGTGTACTAACTTGAATATTAGATTTTCCATTAAACTCTTTCCCTATTTCTTACCTCCTCTGACCATGGCCTTAAAGGAAAAAAGGCTACAGGATTGGAGATGTGGTGGCTGGGAGGGGAGAGAAATGAGATGAGGTGAAGGTTGGTTATGGCATGCTAGGGAGGGGGCAGGGTAGGGACTTCCTGTTTCTATCTTCCCCTCCTTCAAGATGTGCAAATGACAGGGTTGCCATCTTTAAGGGCTGTGTAGTGATACAAAGGTTGGTTTGAAAATATAAGATGCTATTATTAATACTGTCGTTAACAAGTGCTGGGTTTCATAGTGCAAGGCTAGATAGTGCAGACAGTGGCAGGGCTGCGTGCCTGCTTGCCTGCCTTACTATTGTTGGTCCCCAAGTGACTATTTGTTATACTAATGTCTTCAGTGGTGTGATCACATACCAAAAAAGATAGTCATGCAAAATTACAACAGTAAATTTCAGGACCCATGAGTCAGAGAATGGAGTTATAATGGTTTTTATAACAGTGCTGTTACCCACAGGGCACACACTTAAGAGCAACATTTAATACTTAACTAATAATCCAAGATAATACATTCTTTCAGATGAGGAATTTTTTGAAATATTAGTATTTTTCTGTTAAAAACAAATTACTAAAGGACTAGCTTGTGTTAACTCTTCATGTTAAAGACAAATAATTTCTGTAGATTTTTCTGCTTGTTTTCTTAAAATCTATGCATTGACAAAATAGTTAATTAAAGATCACATTGAATCTAAAAAAAGGATAAAGAATACTACTGCAGATTTGAAAAGTATTTAGTTTTATGGTTCTAACCATTTTTCTTATAATTCACAATGAATTTTATTTTATTTTTTTATGCTCGGGTATGACTGAGACAGCACCACCCCATATCCATGCTTATCTGTAGTTCCTTCATTGGTGTGGGGAGCAGAGCAGGCTGCAGCCATGTCTAATATTCAGGAGGCCGTGGCCTCACTGTGAACACTTAGACGGTATCTGCTACAGATACGTGTTAACAGGAAGCTGGAATCAGGAGCAGAGCTGAGACTCAAGCCATGAACTCCAGTATGGCATGTTGGCATCCCAAGTAGTGTCTTAACTGCTTTACTAAATGCCCATCCTAACCTTTGGGAATTTAATACAGTTCCCACTAATTTTTTTTAAAGATTTATTTATTTATTTGAAGGCAAAGTTACACAGAGGCTGAGGCAGAGAGAAACAGGGAGAGGGAAGTCTTCCATCTACTGGTTCACTCCCCAGATAGTTGCAATGGCTGGAGCTGTACCAATCCAAAGCCAGGAGCCAGGAGCTTCCTCCAGGTCTCCCACACAGGTGCAGGGGCCCAAGCACTTGGGCCATCCTCTACTGCTTTCCAAGACCATAGCACAGAGCTGGATTGGAACTGGAGCAGCTGGGACTCGAACTGGCCTCCATCTGGGATGCCAGCACTGCAGGTGATGTCTTTACCCACTATGCTGTAGTGCTGGGCCCTGACCTACTAATTTTTAATGCTGTGATCTTGCAATGACTATGAAGCCTCTCTGTGCCTCAGATTTCTATCTATTAAATGAGGATAACCTATATCATAGGGAATTTGTGAGGAGTAATAAATTTAGGCAATAAAAAGAGTTCTTTAAATATTAGTTGTTATTATCATTATTATTAGCTGTAATGTGGTCCAGAGCCCAAAAAAAAGAAACATAAGTAAAAATAAAATAAAATTAGGGGCCGGCGCCGCGGCTCACTAGGCTAATCCTCCGCCTAGCGGCGCCGGCACACCGGGTTCTAGTCCCGGTCGGGGCGCCGGATTCTGTCCCGGTTGCCCCTCTTCCAGGCCAGCCCTCTGCTGTGGCCAGGGAGTGCAGTGGAGGATGGCCCAGGTGCTTGGGCCCTGCACCCCATGGGAGACCAGGAAAAGCACCTGGCTCCTGGCTCCTGCCATCGGATCAGCGCGGTGCGCTGGCCGCAGCGCGCCGGCCGCGGCAGCCATTGGAGGGTGAACCAACGGCAAAAGGAAGACCTTTCTCTCTGTCTCTCTCTCTCACTGTCCACTCTGCCTGTCAAAAAAATAAATAAATAAATAAAATAAAATAAAATTAGGACAGTCAAAGGAGACATTGTTAATCCAGATACTAAAATTTAGGTCATTTAATTCATAGGTGCCACACCTGTCCTATAGAGCCACAAAATCCTACCTAGCAGAATTGTTGATGTGGTTTTCCAGTTCAGAGACAATTAAGCAGAAGAGAAGGACTGCGTGAGCCTATAGCTCACAGCTGGAATGGAGAAAGAAACTCAAAATAGTTACCTAGAAAGCAGGAGCAATTGGGGAACGTTGTAAGGAGTGACATCCCCAAACTAGGCTTGGGTCAGAACCATGGTGGGGAGCTCTGCAAGAATGCAGGTTTTCAGACCTGTGACTCAAACAGCTCATAGTTTAATTAGGAGTGCTAAGGTCCTTCAGAACTTAAGAAAACAGGAATATCCACAAGAATTTTACATTTCGTGATAGCCAAGTTTTTAAGGTATAAATAAATTACCCTGATATTCAGTTAAAGGCATTATATTTAGTCATGTGTGGATGAAAAACTTAAATTACTAAAACTTCAAGTTTGGAAAGTAAAAGTATATACAATGAAAACCAAACTGTAGACACTGGGCACAGAGGGGAAGAAATCAGTGAGTAGTAAGCACTAAATCATTGCTATAATCTCCCCTAGGTTAGGGTCTCCTGCCTGGTAGTTTCTAGCTTCACTCTTGGATTCAGGCTATTCTACTCTGAAAATGTTTCCTTAGTTTCTGAATAGCAGCTTCATGGTTCCTATAATTGCCATCTCTTCTATATAGCTTTCAGTTTTCTATCAATTCTACTCAGATATTTTTGGACTTATCCTGTTCTTGTTTATTTTCTCTTATTATTATTTCTTATTCCTCCATTATCCCTTCCTGCAAAATACCAAGGTTTTATTTTCATTTACCTAGTTCATCTGGTTAGCATTCAAAATAAGAAATTGCCCATCTGTGCATCATTTCAACATTTCATTCATTCATTCAACAAATATTTACCTGAGTACCTACTCTATGAGAAAGGTTCTGTATTTGGCACCTGATTGAGAGTGGTGAATAAGAGAACCTTGGTATCTTACCTCGTGGAGCTTACATTCCTGTGGGGGAACAGCAAGTTCTATTAGGTGCCATGAAAGATACATGTAAAATCCTGAAGTAGAAAATCCTGGCAGAGGAAGGAGACTGCTGTTAGAAGGGGTATATGCAGGCCGGCACCAGGCGGCACTGTGGCTCACTAGGCTAATCCTCCGCCTGCGGCACCGGCACCCTGGGTTCTAGTCCCGGTTGGGGTGCTGGATTCTGTCCCGGTTGCCCCTCTTCCAGTCCAGCTCTCTGCTGTGGCCCAGGAAGGCAGTGGAGGATGGCCCAAGTGCTTGGGCCCTGTACCCGCATGGGAGACCAGGAGGAAGCACCTGGCTCCTGGGTTCGGATCGGCACAGCGCGCCGGCCGTCGCGGCCATTTGGGGGGTGAACCAATGGAAGGAAGACTTTTCTCTCCCTCTCTATCTCTCTCTCTCACTGTCTAACTCTGCCTGTCCAAAAAAAAAAAAAAAAAAAAAAAAAAAAGTGGTATATGCAAAAGGATTTTCTGAAGAAGCAGCACAGAGATTCATAGGTCCTTCTTAAAATTCTTGGGAAAAGGGAATTCAAAGATAAGGTTATTTTGAAACCCATGTATAATTTTTCATAATACACATTTACTGTGAACCTTGAAGACCTTAAATATATCTATATATAAAATTTCAAAAAATTTTTGCAATAAAATAAGCTTATCTTTTATTTTCATTTTTCTTGAACTCTTAGAAGTTCCATTGTGTTGAATCAGAGAAGGTGATAACCACATGATAAGTACAGAGAAACTCATTCATATTGTTCAAACTGAACTCATTGTCATGAAAACATGCTCTCAATATCTACTCTCCTTAAAAATCCTTTCTTGACCTCACTTTCTTTGCTCCACAGTCCATTTCTCTATTCTTCATACAAAATTCTTGAAGGGTTGCACATGCTGGTTGCCAGTTGCTCTTCTCCCATAATTTCATTCCATTCAGGCTCTCCAGACCCCAGGATTCCATTGATTCTGCCCTGACCACGGCCACCATTGGCCCCATTCTTCATTCCTCATTTGACTAGATCCCTCTGCAGCATTGGTGATTGCACTGAGTCTTTATTTATTTATTTATTTATTTATTTATTTATTTTGACAGGCAGAGTGGACAGTGAGAGAGAGAGTCAGAGAGAAAGGTCTTCCTTTGAACTCTCCAATGGCCGCCGCGGCTGGCGCGCCATGGCCTGTGCACCGTGCTGATCCGAAGGCAGGAGCCAGGTGCTTATCCTGATCTCCCATGGGGTACAGGGCCCAAGCACTTGGACCATCCTCCACTGCACTCCCTGGCCACAGCAGAGAGCTGGCCTGGAAGAGGGGCAACCGGGACAGAATACGGTGCCCTGACCGGGACTAGAACCCGGTGTGCCGGCGCCACAAGGTGGATTAGCC